TTTWWTWAAYTCCTTGCTATAGTTTGACTTGTAAAAGCATTGAGATCCATGTATAATGCGTTAATAAGAAATAAATTATTATTATTWTTACCTTCTGAGGTGATGCATAGTCATCTTCAGAACCCAGCCCTAAACGACCTGTGAGTATTCAATAGTGAGCAAGTAAGTACTAAATTCCAAATGTGAAAGCATGGACAATTTCTTAAMTGGYATTCATACAATGACTTACCATGCTCTCCACAGCCCCATGAATACAACTCATTGTTATCTACAAGAAACATGAAAAACGTGATRTAATTGATATTGAACTCTTCTTAAAATAATATACCTAAATCATCATCTCTGTCTTATGGTAAAACTGGTCTTACCTGTTAAAGCAACTACATGACAATCACCACATGAAACCTGTCTGACTGGTTTGTCAGCAAAGAAAKCCACCTTATTTGGTAATAGTACTTCATCACCAAGTTCGTTATTACAACCAATACATCCATAGTAATCTGATCCAAACATGTACAGTACGTTGTCATCTAAAACAAGATTATACAATTAACAATTATAATGTTGACAATAAACAGATAATATTCATATCATGTGTGAATGAATGCATTAGCATCCAATACATCATACATACCAGTCAAACATGCAGTGAAATCATCCCCACAAGATACTTGTCTGATTGGAATACYATGGAATGCATTGACTTTCTTGGGAAGCCTGTAACAACCAATGTCACCRTGTCCAAGCTGCCCTGACATTTGCTTGCCACCATGTGCATTCTATAATTGACATCCATTGATTAAATTGGCCATCACACAAGGATAAACATGGATGGCAATAAAATAAGAATTTAAGGTAATTAAAAAAGCAGTACAGGGTGATAAAAACTATAACAGGGGAGAGTAAATAAACCATTCTAGTAATATAATATCACATGTCAGCCTCTAATGTCATAGTTAACTTCACCACATGATACTCACAGCCCATGTAAAAACYTCCTTCTCAACAGTTAAGACAGCAAAGTGTGAATGTCCTGCAGACACCTATGGTAAGGAGAGGTTATATTATATTCAACCAGATAATAAGTCCAGAGTGATTAATACCTGAAGTGCACTATTTCCACGTATGAAAGCATCAATCTTTTGTGGTATCTGTTTACCAGCCCCCCAGAAAAACACTTCAGTCAACTTTGATGTTATGACTGGCTCAACAGTTTCAGATGATGCTGTAGCCAACCTTGGAAATGCAAGAAAAAAAGAAAATTGATCATCAAAAACTGAATGGTTTTATTTGATAATTTAATGTCTGTAATCTTTTATACCTTGCTCTTCTTGTTGATGCATTCAGCTGCCAAACCTTTTTATCCATCTCTCTGCAACAAAGTATCCATTTCTATCATTGTTATGAATACAGTCAGCCCTTCAAATAGTTACATACTTTCCTAATACAGCTAGAATGGGCATCTTTAAAAGCTCACTAACAGAAGGTCTATCAGCTGGGTTCTATTAAACAAGCAATATCAGTGTTTTTATTATTTTTGTTATTTAAAGTTGATYGATTGGTCTSTGGATGGACATTTTCTGAAGAGTTTAAGGTATGTTTCACTTCAACTATTATCCCATGCCAGCAATTGTACATTCCACTTACYAATGCTAGAAGACCATTGACCAAGTCATTCATGTCCTCTGTATATCTTGAATCTATTTCGTCGTACTGACCTTTAACTATCTCMGCAACAAGACGGAGAGGATTCTGAAAGCATCAGATAATACATTTATCAGCAGGAAATATGATTTGATTCATTACATTATCAGAAAATGTTTTACCGTGGCATCAAATACTCTCTTTAAGGTCAGAACTTCATACAAGACACAGCCAAGAGCCCACATATCACTTTTTTGATTATACCTGATCAATACAAACTTCTTTTAGTAGTTATAAACTTGAAAACATCATAATTCTAACAACCTGTAATTTCAGTATAGTACTTCCAGTACCTATTTACATAATACATCTATCAACCATTTTTTGCATGCATAGGTACATCTATGTGATGTAGTCATCAGTGAAGATGKCTTGTGATCATACACTCACAAAGACTTGCTTTTGAAAAATATCACCCTTAAACAAGTGAATTCATAGATAGGATACAAGAAACAAATAAATAAATTGACAAATTATTTCACTAGATGAATTGAATGGATGGATGGATGAAATATGAAATAAAAAATGGATGAAGGCATTTATGATTAAAATTACTTACTTTTTTCCTTGGACTAGTTCAGGAGACATGTAATATGGTGTTCCAACAATCTAAAGGTTTGAGCCATTTCTCAATAAGAATAAATCATCAAATCATGATAATACSAGAGTATGTTACTTACTGAATCTGCCATTCCTTCTGAATCTAGAATTTTTGAAATACCAAAGTCACCAAGTTTAACCAGGCCAGACTTAGTCAAAAAGATGTTCATGGTTTTTATATCCCTGCAGAATAGGAAAAAGCCACTTATCAGCTGAGATTGAATGCTAAGAAATTAAATTATCAATAAACATACCTATGTACAATGTCATTCTCATGGATGTGTTCAATAGCAGAGCAGGTTTGATAGAAGTACCAGATAACTATCTATTGAGTATGATTTATAATAAGCCATAAGTAATAAGGAAAAACTAAATGGTTGTAAAATAATTATTATAAATCAAGTTCTATAAAAATAAAAATCACCTCTTCTGCGAATAAATCTGTTTGTAAGCTAATCTTGTCATGTAGKGTTCCTCCTGGAAATGCATTTCAATGTTATGAACACAACTATTATGGTTTTCTGGTCAATATATCTTTATGACATGTAATACTCACCATTGCAGTATTCCATTTCAATAAATAAAGATGTCCCATCAATGAAGTGGTTAAAGTATGTAACTATATTAGGATGATTCAATAAAGATAGAATTTCTATCTCTTTCAATGCGTCTGCTCTTTCTTTATCACTGGCTTTGCTTAAGTTAACTTCTTTCCATACAACCAACATGTTATCCTGTCATAAATAGAATCATCTATCAGAAACCATTCSCCAGCAATAAGGTAGAGGGAGTAAAGTTGTTGTGGTTTAATCAAGGATCTCGCTTTTATATATTTAACAGTAAGATGACCTCTTACCAATTAAATTTATCTCAGCTTAGAACAAACAAAATTTACAATATCTATACTTCATATTTAATTGTAAAACAAGCCAACTGCAATAAAAACCAAAACCCTCTACACAAATTGACAGAGTATGAAAACACTAAAAGAGGGCTATTTATGGTGTTTAGTTACAGTCTGGGRTCAGCATACATTGAAATTAACTCTCATAATTTAGTTTACTTAACCACCGAAAACTTTTTAATACCTTTGCACTGTATGCATTAAGATTKATTGAATCAATAAACTCAAGTACTTAATCACTTAAACCACACAGGATGTGTCCACTTCAAAACCATCAAGATGAAGACATCTTTTGTCTCCAACCCTCCAATGTGTCAATGATGTTTTAGAAGCAACTTTTACACACCTCATAAACAGATCAAGTCATATAAAATTATTGATTATTGTGTACTGTTATATGGATTTGCCCTCATAAATACTTGCATTTCAAGCAATAAATAAATTATATTTTACCTCTGTGTGTTGTAAACAGTTTGTGAATATTATGGGTTCGTTGTGTGTATAAAAATTGTGACATATTATAACAAATATTATATCAAACCTACAAAAACACGATCTATACATAACAACGACTCCCCATGGTGTATGCTACACAAAAACTAATTTTAAATAAAATCACCAAACGCTTGACTGCCATTTGTACAGCACGACAGCTAAAATCTTTGGTGTTTATTTRCTAGCAAATTAATTTTATTGCAATGAAAATGTAGCACAATTGCGTTAATCTCCAAGTACAATCAATTTCACGATACTATTCACCTTACAAAAATGTAATTGTGCTACATTCCAATGCGGGTCATTCTTTGCAATCAATCTAATAATAWTCCAAAACACAAATTATATTGTAATATTATCAACATAACTTGCATTGCTAATTTTAATACACGATACGACTACATGTCTGTCAATGCAGGTCAGTTTATATGGKTAGTCATTCATAATTACTATAAGCTTGCTCACCTCTATTTTTCTGTACAAAACGGCTTCTCCAAAGGCACCTCTGCCAAGCGTTCGAACTGGTATATACATTTCTTGTTGTATATCAGAATTGATAAAGTCAGCTCCCCCATCATCCGCCATTTTCCAGGTGTTTTTTCGTCCTTCTTCGTCAAGCAAGTAAGATTAATTTCTACTTTTTATCCAAATTGCATTCTTCGATTCATTGAAAGTTACTTTATAAGGTTACTTGTTTCTTATCTAGAACTGTCCTCTCAAAGAGGTCAGTCTATTGAAGAGTTCAGTTTTACATCTGCTGGGAAAATTTACCATAAATTCACCGTATTTTCACCACCGATTCGAGTGTATTAAAGAGCGTCTTCACCCTAGTCTCTCTAGATTCTCCCTTGACAGAGAGGGTCTGTTGTGAATGTTTTCAACACACAGGAAACCCACTGAAAATTACATTTTGTAACTACTTTTTGGAATTTTAAGGAAAATATGAATAGTAAGAAATATAGAATATTTCATTCTTGTAYCGATTAAGCAAATAATTTTAGTTCATGGAATTTATTTCATCAGTTTTTTTGCATAACTGATAAGAAGTGGGTTACCTGTGTTTTGCTTGACGCATGCGTCGAGAACACCAAAATGGCGGCCGACGTTAACGCAGACAGCAGAAACAGCTTAGAAAAACAGCTGATTGAAGCTGTAGAAATCACTCTTAATCCTGATGTAGATCATCAACTCAGATATAAGGCATTTGAGGTTAGTCTAGTTTGTATAAATCAAAATTTTATGTGAAATTTCAAAAAATCCGCAAGTGTGTGGTGCGTCTTCTCGGTTCGCGCGTTAAGACTGTAACTGGAGCATATTTTCAGTACCAATAAAATAATATTAAACTTCATTTCAGTATATTGAGACGTTCAAGCGAGATTCCGTTCTTTGCGCAGACGTTGGTATTAGTTTATTTAATAAAGATAACACCCCAATTGTGCGACATCTTGGACTTCAGTTGATTGAGCACGTCATCAAGTAAGTCAAAGCAGAAACGTATCTCATGTAAAACATTTGCTGCTATTTCCTACCTTTTTTACATGAGAATAAGYCACTATTCTAAGTCCTTGCTGACCTACAAAMWTAAAATTGATTTATTGGATGGGATGCCTGTGTGGTGCTGTCAATCAATGYCTTACCATGTGTCTTACTGCTGCAYATTTTGTAGGTTTCGATGGAATTCAATGGAAAGTTTGCAGCAAGAAGGGCTCAAGTGCACATGCTTGGAGCTCATTGCACATGTAAATGATAATGATTTTTAGCRTGTAATTAATTTCAATAATTTTTAGTCCAAAGATYGTATGTTTTTATTCCTCGTAACCATTCACTGATCWTTCTAATCTTTGTAATTCCAGAAATRTTACAAAAAAAGGATTTTTAAAATGCTTTGCTTCATAGGGGACAAAGCCACTGTTAGAAGAACCATTGCATCTGAAG